CCGAATCGTAGACCAGTGATTAAGCAGAACTCCTTCCGCCCAAAACAAGTATACGCCGGTGGAAAATGAAACCATATCTCTTCCTCACCACGTTGTATACTGTCGGGTAGATCGCTAGTCATGGTCTGAAGCCACAAATGGGCATCTCCACCCGGATGCTGTACTCTCAGCCATGGCCCGAAGCAGGTTTCCTCAAACAATTTTCTTTGTGCAGGTGAAAGCTTCGAAGCAATTGTAGTGGCTAGGCTAACTTTATTCCTTAATGTCAATGAAGCCGAAAAAAATTTCTACAAAAACAATAAACATACCAAGTTAGATATACCAAAAACTACACTGTCAAGATATACCAAAAACAATAAACATAAATAGTAGTTTATTCTTGAAACTAAAATTTGCAACACTGTTTTGTCTTTTGGTTGAAATGAAAATCGCAACGAGATAATGAGAATCGCAACGCGGAAATGACTATCGCAATGAGAGAATCGCAACGCGAAATGACTATCGCAACGAGAGAATCGCAACGCGAAATGAAAATCGCAACGCGAAATGAAAATCGCAATGAGAGAATCGCAACGCGAAATGAAAATCGCAATGCGATTTTGGTTTCGCGTTGCGATTTTTATTTCGCGTTGCGATAGTTATTTCCGCGTTGCGATTTTCATTCTCGAAACTATTCTTCTTCTGCATTACTTCAACCAAAAGACAAAACAAAGACAAATACTAACTTCACAGGCTAAACAGTTTAGCAGTATTGGCAGCAATCGAATGAATTTAATAAGAAATCTAAGTGAAATGGTTAATCTATTATTGAAATTACCAGTAAACTTATCATCAATCTCAATATGAAAAACCTAAAATAATGCAAAATTTTCAAAATAAAAATAAAACAAAACTAACCCTCGGAGGTTGATTTTCCATTTCTGAATGATTGTGAGGGATTTTTGACTGTGAAAAGGTTGTGAGGGATTTCGCCGGCGATGGGGACGAAAATCTTCGGAGATGGGGACGGATTTCGCCGTAGAGAGTGAGAGATGGAGATGAGACTGAGTGTTGTGATTTTGAGTTTGAGGTTATGAGTTGCGATTACTGTGGACAGTTCAGTTTCCGATTTATTAAGAAAAAATTCGTGTTTGGAATTTGAAAAAAAATACGCGTTAATACGAATGGCGCTATGTAAATCGCGTTGCGAAAGTCAGAATCGCGTTGCGAAAGTCAGTATCTCATTGCGATTTTGTATTATCGCATTGCGATAGTAAGTATCGCATTGCGATAGTCAGTATCGCATTGCGATTTTCCCAATTCGCGTTGCGATTTACTTATTCGCATTGCGAATTGGGAAAATCGCAACGATACTGTAGACCATCGCAACGCGAATTTGCGATAATGGAGATCGCGTTGCGAATTAGCGATCGCATTGCAATTTTGTTGGTCATTTTGGCAAATCCGGAAAAAGTTGGTTAAAATCGTATATTATATGTGATTTTTAGTCACTGAGGTTATTTTCTCTTATATATAAAATGTAAAAATAATGATAATAGGTTACGTCCAATTAACAAAAGTTAATATCTTAATAATTAAAATAAAAGTGATCGATAGTGTAAATAATTAAATTATTTTTAAAAGATAATAATTAAAATAAAAAATGATCACTTGACTATTCATATGTTCCAAAATCATCATTAATTAAAAATTAACCATAATTCGAGCTAAGTGTTAATCCATTTTTTAAGATATGATAGAATCTAGTCTCGAAATCTCAAACGACTATCATATTCTGTCAGTATGTTAACATCCATCTTAGATGATCGTAAATTTTTTAACAGAAAAAAATGAGTTTAGAATATATGGATAGTAGGGTGATCATTTTATAACTTTTAATAATCGATGGACTTAATAAAATAATACTATATAGTTAGAGGATTGTTTTGTAATTTATAGTAGTTGGGGAACTCAAAGAAATATTCTATAATTGAGTTATCATTTTTATACTGTACCTAAAAATTTTAAGGCAAGGAAAGTTCTGAATCAGCCGAAACAATGGACCATTTTGGATTTTGTGAGTCAGTGAAGTGATGGATTATATTACTTTAACCTTTAAACCGATCTTGGGTAAGTTTACCAAAATATATAATAATGACCTCTTATGAACCCTTTCTCCTAATATTCCTAATTTAGCACATTTTCTGATAAGGCGTGGACGGGATTTTGTCCGAGCTGATGTCACGTAAGGAAATATACGAATCGTCATCCGCGCCTTAGGTGAACCTCTGACATATACAGAAGATTATGATCATGAAGCACGTCTTCCATAGGTCTATATCATCCCTAAAAACATTTTAAAAATATATATATACTTAAAAAAACTATAGGGACTAACATCATAATTTAATACATATTAATTCAATGAGTTGAAAAGTTTAAAGAGGTTAGCTTATATAGATATATTAGAGTGTTTAGGTTATGTTTTTTAACAATGTGGGATAAAAGTGAAAATGTGTATTTCTTGACAATTTATTTAGGTTATCTTTCCATGAGTTAACTTCGATCGTTCTCATTACATTTTTATTTCAATTATATACATATAAATGTAATAAGAAGTTGATAAATTAATATTTGTTTAATTTTTAAGTTACCTTACATCAACCCAAAAAATAAAAAATAATTGATTAATTACTTAGTATTAGATCATGCCTAAAGGTATAAATATGATCATATATTAATAATGATTATGTATATGCTTAAATAAGATATTTGAATAAAGTTTGAAGTCATTTTCTAATTTATTTATGGACTTTCTAGATTTAAGTAACAATATTATTCATAAGTTATTGAAATCGTAAGAACAAAAATCCTAATCCTTTTGAAGTCATAAGTGTGAAGTGGCTATGTTTCTATAAGATTTGTTAAAACCCCAATTCTTTTTAGTTAGATAAAAGATTCATTAACCTTGAATTATCTTAGCAACCTCACCTATTCTAAGCCTAAACATATAATATAAATATCAACTTTTTCAATCATTCTAAACACACTAAAAATGAGTACATGTAATTTCTGACTTTTTTTTTTTTTTTGTAACTTTGAATTTGTTAGGCATTTATGTCGAGAAATATTGTTGATTCATGCGTTCTATTTTTTATAACATAAAAATTTGTTGAATCCTGATAGATACATTATACAATAAAAAATCCTCCTTAAAGATATTATTTTATGCAAGTCTTAAATTATTTATCTTGCATTTTAATTTATTGATTTAGTACAATATTTATCATAATCTATGTGTACTTTTAATCCCAAAATTTTGTATAATATTCCCAAAATTTATATATAATTAATCAATTAATTTTATTTTTGGGTTGATGTAAGGTAACTAAAAAATTAAACAAATAATAATTTATCAACTTCTTGTTACATTCATATGTATATAATTGAAATAAAAATGTAATGAAAACGATCGAAGTCAACTCATGGAAACATAATCTAAACATATTGTCAAGAAATACACATTTTAACTTTTATCCCACATTGTCAAGAAACATAATCTAAACACTCCAATTTGTTTATATAAGCTAACTCAATTAAGTTCTTCAACTCATGAAACTAATATATATTAAATTATAATATTAATCCCTATAATTTTATTTTTTTAATTTTTTAAAGTATATTTAATTTTTAAAAAATATTTTTAGGGATGACGTGGACTTATGAAAAGTGTATTTCACGATTCACGAATTTTCTTACATGATGTCAGTTCGGACAAAACCCGTAAATGCATGATAATTATTTTATGGACGGGTGATATTTCTGTAAAATTGCCCCAAGACTGCTTGAGGGTTAATTTAATGTTTCCCAAAATCTAGTATTCTTTTCTTTTACTTTTTTGGTGCCAGAGCCAAAGAGTTCAACTAAATGGGGTTGGCATGCAAGTAAATGTAGGAGTGTTAGACCGAATATACCAAACTCAGATGTCCCATCTACCAATAGCATCGTGGTACGGGGTTTTAGATTAATAGAGGAGAATTTAAATTTTTAAAACTCTAACAACATTTGAATTTATAAAAATTTAAAATATTAGAAAGAAGGATGGTCCTCTCCGTCTCTCTGTTCCACAACTTCTCTCCAAATCAATTTCAGTGAGTTTTTAATGCAGTAATTAATTATATGGATGGATTGTTAAATGATTGCCAAGATTACATAAACGGACATTTTTGTGCATATGCCAACTAAACAAAACTTTCGAGATAATGTTATGAAAGAAATTAATTCACGAACTAATGCACTCCCAAGATTAATTGCTTAAATAGAGTGAAATTCACAGTGTTGGTCGTAGGTCGCCATGTCTTCCGGGCGACCTTGTAGGTCGTCATGCACTCCGGCGACCTACCCTTGTTCAAACAGAGAGAATGAACGTGTTGCATGGAACATGCACGTCCCAACACATAGGTCGCCATGCCCTCCGGGCGACCTTGTAGGTCGCATGCACTCCGGGCGACCTTGTAGGTCGCCATGCACTCCGGGTGACCTACCCTCGTTCGGCTGCCCTCGGATTCCCTCGCATAGCTCGCTCGGCTGCCCTCGCATAGCTCGTTCGGATGGCCTCGGATGCTCTCGGATAGCCTCGGATGCCCAGCGTGTTGGGACGTGCATGGCACATGCTATCTCTTGTAGCTCGCCGGAAAGACATGGCGACCTAGTAGGTCGCCCGGAAGGCATGGCGACCTACGGCCAACATTGTGGATTTCACCTTATTTGAGCAATTAATCTTGGAGTGTTTTATCTCGTGAATTAATTTTTTCCAGAACATTATCTCGAAAGTTTTGCCTGCCAACTTATGGGGAAGAGGGAACCTACCCAAATCACCACAGAAACACGTAAATAGATGTGTATATATAAATAAAAGACGCCATGCTCAGTTCTAGGCTTCAGAGATTTAACTAACGGTAAAACTATTATGCGATGCTTATAATAGATGCAATAACTCGTAAACATAAGGCAACCCCAATTTAAATACCAGCTTGACCCACATGGATTATAGCAGTTTCAGCAACGCAGTGGCCTTTGTTTTGGTCCTACCACTACAGTGGCTCTGCAGAAGCAACAGCAACTGCGTCAAAACTCCACCCACTATTGCTTTTTCCCTAGCTTCCAATGATTCCTCACACACTTTCATCAACGAGTTAACCGCGCTTTCGCTCCCTTCCTGCTCCGACACCCTGAACACCATCTTCACCATCGCTTTCACGCCGTTTGGATTCTTTATCAGCGCCTCTTTCGCACTCTCGTCCCCCAGCACTTGCTCTATTCTCTCCATCGCCATCGCCGCCAAGCTTCTTTCTTTTCTTTCCGAGTTCAAAATGAACGTCACCAGGCCATCGATCAGGCCCTGTTGGACCAGGTTTTCCCTGTTTGATTCCAAGCAACACAATGCCGAAATCGCTTTCATTCCAGCCTCGGACATCTCATTGTTTTGTTGCTTCACAACACAGATTATCATGTTCAACAATCTCTGGTTTTTTCCGATCATTGCACAGAGCTCCCTGGTTTCTGCTGATGATGAAATCAACCCTACCATATGACACAAGCTTTGCTTCGTTTTTACACTCCCATGCTCAAATAGAACCACAAAAGATTCCAAATTCGATTCTTCTTTAAGCATTTTCAAACACACCAATTCTCCAAATGGAAGCAATCTAAGAACACAAGCAAGGCCTTGATCCACCAAGTTCACATACTCTAGGGAGAATTCAGGGTCCACCATTTCGAAAACCAGTTGCAGAAGCAAAGGCAAGAAACCCAATTCGATCAAAAAGGAATTTGCAAACGGTGTTTCATCTGTAAAGACTCGGATCTTTTGCAGTGCTTGTAGCTTGTCTCGGAAGGTAGCCGAAGCAGACGCAAGGGAGTTCTTAATTGCCGTAAAGTAATCAGCGTCTGATCGGTGACCTTTTTGGCGCCATTGTTGAATCAGATGACGAAGATTATGATTGGGAACAAGAGATGGATCGTGGAGCTTTTGCATTGTGACGGGGCACGTGAGATTACCGGCGGCGAACCATTTTTGTATGCTCGATCTGTCGTAGGTTTGGCCCGTACACACAGTGACAGGATCCGTGAACAAGTCCAGGCTGATTGGACATCTAAATAAATGAGGTATTGCCATTTCACCTTCTTTCATGGAAGAGGAACCATAAAACCAAAATCTTCAAACAAAAAAAAAATGAATTGATTTCTTTGAAGAATATGCAAAGATGGAGGTTTTTTTTTTTAAAAAAAAACACAAACACCAAAAAGGCAGTAAACAAGGTTGGTAGTGTTAAAGTTGGTTTTTTTGAAATCAGATTGTAGAGCCAAAAGCGAAGAAATGACAGGAGACTGGGAAAGTGTAACAGCTATCAGTGTTTATAAAAATAAAGTGATAAACATGAATAGAAAACTTGAGGGTTTGCAGCAGCAGAGGAAGAGTTCACAGTGAGAGAGAGAGAGAGAGAGAGAGAGAGAGAGAGAGAGAGAGAGAGAGAGAGAGAGCATTCTTAGCTGGAGGGGATAAGAGAGAGAAGAGAACAAAGAAGATAATATCAGGGGATGTCCATGAATTGAGAGAGCGATTGGAATTGGGTAAACTACGTATCTAGTCACAACACTATTCCCTAATTTTTTTTTCAAGATTATATCTAAAGTTACGTTTTAATTTTATTTTTGTCACTCATCGTTAAAAACATTAATGACGATCTTAACGTGTAACTGTAAGATAATATCATATCATCATTAAAAAATAAAAAGTTATCATATTAACAATTTTGTTTATTTTCAATCACATACTACTAAAAAATAATTAGTTAACAAAAACAGAACAGTAAAAACAATTAAGTGATTAAATAGGTAGTTTACCCTTGAAACTAATAGTTTAGAATAATTGTTGGGGATGGTCCACTCCCAACTTTCCAGTCAAACAGACCCTCTAGAAAGAAGAAAAATAAATATCTTGTTATAATTATTTTGTATAAGAAGTTTGAATTGAATGCAGCAGTAGTAGGTTGAAAATTAAAATGTTGGATATTAAATGTTGGTTAAAAGGGTAAATAATTTAATATTATTAAGTAAGATATTAAATTTAAATTTTTGTATATATAAAAAATTCTTACTGAGAGATTCATCGAACAAAATTAGATATGCAACATGTGTTGATTTATATTAATTAGAGTTAAATCTTACAATCGGAGAGCGAAAAAAAATAAAATGTGGGTTACGAAACCATATCTGAGAGTTCGAATGGAGAGAAAAAGATGGCCGCTCATCCGAGTATTAATTTAATGGGTTAAATGGTTTCCATAAAAAAATGAGTTAAATAATATTCTAACTTTTTAAAGTTATATTTTATTGTTATCTTTTTGCGTTTGATTTTTTAATTTAATTTAATTCATTTTGTAGCCGTGACATATAATATATTAAGCTATTTTTTTATAAAAATATAAATAAATTAGGAAATAATGACAATAAATATACACGTGTCTTCGATTATTCAATAATTTAGAAAACTATGTTAAAACATATGTAAAATAAATGCCTAGCCGATGTGAGATTTGCTTCTTTGCATTACCCACAATAGACACTTATGTGTATATGGTAATTTATGCAGACAATGCTTAAAAATAAATGCATATAGTACATTTACGTGATACAAGGATGGACCTAGGTGGGTGGTTAGAGACGGTCGCTCTTTTGAAATTTAAAAATTGTTATATATTTTTAAAAAAATTCTATATATTTTTTATTGAATTTTTTTTCATCCACTTAAAAATTTATAAATTCAAGTTCATCTCCCCTTAAATTTTATAAGTTCACATTCACTCTCTAACTTAAAATTTTATGTACATCCTTACGTGTTTGTTGAACTATGTTTTGATATAACAATTTAAGACAAAATGGTTTTTGGACTTGAATTGAATTTACAAAATATTTTTGGACTTAATTGAATTTATTCAAATTTTTAAAAGGTTTCAAAAATAATTCAAATTCCATTAAAATCGAATTTGAGCCAAAATGCTAAAGGGTGTCAAAGTGCATCCCTGCATCCCTGCAGTGCATCCATGCACCTGCACTAATGCATCGATGCATCATGCAATGCATCCATGCACTCAAACATCGAATGCACTTAGTGCATCGATGCATCCTTCCATGCATCATGCATAAAGGCTGCAACGGCTAGTTTATTTGAATTTAATGAAGGGGTATCGATGCACCTTGATAGTGCACCGATGCATCATGTTATGGGCAACCTTTTTGAGTAGAAAAATCATCCCCAAACGGCTCCAAAACATCCCCAACAGCTATATACAACATCAAACACATTCCAAGCTATAAATACAAGCTAAGGACACTTGAAGAAGTGCGAGAACAACTATACAAGCAATCAAACACAAGAGAAGAGTTTTTCATTCTTATTTCATCTTTCTCTTGTAAATATTTTGTTCTTGTGGGCACAATCTTGTAAACACCTACCTTAGAGAGGTTTTCTTGTTTACATTTCTTATCCTTTTGTAAAGGGGAAAGGTTCTAGCTTATCCCGTGTAAAAGCTAGGGAAAGGTTCTAGTTTAGCCCGGAAAAACTAGGGAGTTGTAAGGTTATCTCTTTGTCCTCAAAAGAAAGAACAAATTAGTGAATTTGTTAGAAAATCCTTGGTGAGGAGCTAAGGTAGTGGACATAGACTTTGGTTGAGAAAGTCGAACCACTATAAATCGCTGTGCAATTCTCTATCTTTCAATCTCCTTACTCCCTAAACACAAAACCGTTCCGACCCCTCTTTGCAAACCGTTCCGGTTATCAATTTGAGCTTTCAAAAATCCCAAAAATTGGCATCAGAGCCTAACTCGTTAAGAAAGTTTAACCACCTTGAGATGATCCTCGAAGAAGCTCTACCAATTTTCGATGCAACCGACAAAGAAATAACTTTTTCCTCTGGTGCTTATTATCTTGAAGAATATCCTATTATGGATTCACAACCGGTCAACAAGTCACCCTTCTTCAATGAAGCAAATTATGCACATTGGAAGAATAAGATGATGTACTTTATACAATCCTACAATCTAGGAGCTTGGAACTCAATCAAGGATGGTTACTCCTCTCCACCCGGCAAGTACAACGATTGGAGTAGAGAAGAGCAAAAAAATTTCCAGCTTAACTCTAAGGCTATACATATTCTATTATGTGCTTTAGGCCCAAATGAATATGGAAGAATCTCATATTGTTCCAGTGCCAAAGAGATTTGGGATAAGCTCCAAGTCACTCATGAAGGAACCGATGAAGTGAGGGAATCAAAGAAAAGTCTTCTCAACCATAGCTACGAGAACTTCAAGATGAAACCCGATGAAGACATCAAAGCTATGACGGATAGATTTTCTATGATTGTCAATGGTCTCAAGGGATATGGAGAAGTAATCCCTAATGAGAAGCTTGTGAGGAAGATGATCTACTCTCTTCTAAAGGAGTGGCAATCGAAGAAGACGACCATTATCGAAGCAAGAAACTTAAAGTCTCTCACTCTCGATGAGCTAATTAGTTACCTTCTCACTCATGAGATGATGGTGAAGGAAGATGAAGAAAGGGAAGAGAAGAAAAACAAGAAGAAGAAGGAGGTAGGCATTGCCTTCAAATCCACCAATGAAAGCTATCAAGATTCAAGTGATGAGGTGGATGAAGACGATGATGGACAAGAAGAAGAGATGGTCAAGCTCTTGAAGGAACTCAAGAGATTCATGATTTCCAAGGAAGTGAAACATGAATCAACCAAGAAGAAGAGTCCCCCGATATGTTTCAATTGTTAAAGAAAGGGGCATGTCAAGTATGAATGTCATCTTCTAAAGAAAAAGGGGAAGAAGACATTTGTTGCATATTGGAGTGATGAAGATGATTCCAATGATGAAGATGAAGTAGTCAACCTATGCCTCATGACCACTCAAAAAGAATTCAAGGTATCTTCTAACTCAAATGAATTTAATTCATTTACTTTTGATGAGTTACAAGATGCATATAATAGTTTGTATTTGGGATTTGAGATCATGAATTCCAAATATACGAAATTAATTTTAAAACTCAAAATTAAAGATAATTTGATTTTGAAAGAAAAAGTTGATTTTGAAAATCAAAATGAAATTTTGAAAAATAATTTAGAGCTTTCAAAAATCAAAATAAATGATTTAGAAAAAGAAAATTTTGAGTTAGGAGTTAAGCTTGAAGGCTTAACAAAAGAAAAAGAATTAATTTCTAAAAATAACCTATTATGTTTAAAAATGGAAAAATGCTCACATTGTCATTTTTATGGTCATTTGGAACATACTTGTCCTTTAAAGAAAGGAAAACATTTTAAAATTAGACAAGTATGGGTTCCTAAGGGAACAAGGGGCATTGAAACTAATGTTCAAGGATCCAAAGCAATTTGGATACCAAAAGCTACTTAAATGTCTCTTGTAGGTGTGTGGGAACAATGGTGATGAAAATGATGATATTCAAGATGCTCTAGCCACACGTGAAAAAGGAATGGGTAACCTTTAAGCTTAATGCTTTTAATTTTGGTTATTTGGTTGCTCATTTATTTTTAAGCATGCATGAGTTTTGGATTTAAATGATTATGTTTTGTTTTAATCTCATGTATGTTAAAAACAATTGATATGATGAACATTTTAATGATTTAATGATTTTACATAATTCTTAGTTCATCATAATAAAATTTTGGTCAAAATTGGTTTTAATGCAAATGATATCTCTCTAACAATTGATATCAAATTTCAAATACTTTGATTTTACAAATTTTAAATTTTGACCTAAATTTGAATGTTTATGCATGTGGTTTAAATGAAAATGATATCTCTCTAACAATTGATATCAAAATTTTCAAAATGCATAACATTTTTGGAAAACTTTATGCATATGCACTTAATTTTAACAAATGGTATTGATATCAAATTTCAACAATTGGTATTGCATAAAGTATTTTAGTCTTGGATAAATTGAATTTAATGTTCTACTAACACATTTGTTATTCTTTGTAGAAATTCAATTTCTTTTTAAGTGTCAAGTTCTTAAAGCTAAATTTTGATTGGAATGCATTTATTGAGGGGGAGCTTTGATTTTTCAAAATGATTTTTAAATGTCAAATTTACCACTTACTCTCCAAAGTT